ATTGCACACCCCAGAGGTCGGCTCTCTCGCTCCCTTTTGCCAGGTCACGGCCATCGGCGTTCCATCCTGAGGCAGCCTAGGTTCCTCGCTTGCTTACCATTCTGCTGTCTGCAACTAGTTTTTTGTTCTTGTTTTTGTGGGCTGAGGGGTTGCGGGCGATATGCTTGGATATTTCCCTTAGTTTCTTGTGCTCTTAGTAATGCATTTAACGGTACATCTGTTGTATTTATCTTCTGGCTTCGAGAAGTTTTGCTGCAGGAGGGCTTTTTAAAATGTCTTGTCTGCCACAGAGCAGGAAATGCAAGTCTGTGCAGCATTTTTTACCTGAACCAAACACTTAGCAAAAGAATCTCTGATCTGCAAAACATTAGGCCCTCGTTGAGCCAGGGACCCCCGCTCAGATTTCTTCTACTTTCACTGTGAACTCTCCTGTAGTGCCCTTGAGGGTCATTTCTTTAAAACGTCTTGTTCGGTGCTGCTCCAGTTCCCTTTGACGAGGTTCCTTACCCTGAGCGGTTCAGAGTACAAGCTCTGGAAAAGGCTGCCTTGGGTTCAGTTTCAGCTCTGCCACTTGTAGGGCAGAATCCTGGTCAAGTTACTTCAATTCTCTAAGCCTCAGTTTATCCATCTGTAAAATGGAGACACTAACAGAACCTTCTTACAAACTGCCAGCTCATGCTGGGAGAAATCATCACAAAATACGAACCTTCTATCGATGATTCAAGAGCTCAAATCAGTTCAATCAGACACGTGATCTGATTCCTGATAAGCTTTGTCTTTGATACATTTCAATGAAACACATAACTAGATGCTTTTATCGACACGTTTCAGCACATCAGTCCCACTTTGCAGAAGGAAAGAGACGGTGCGAGGCGAGTGGAAATCAGGCTTGCTGGTAGACGCACCCTGGTCAGGGGCAGCACAGGACTACCAGGATTCCAGACAAGACTCCAAACTGCCCTGGGGTGTCAGGGGGAAGACCACACGTGACAGGACGGAGGACATACTGGCATCTTGCACATCAGGTGGGGACCTACGTAAGGCCAGAGTCCCTTATCTCACAGGTGGGGAAGCTGAGACCCAAAGAGGGCGGCGAGCTTGTTCCGGGCCAGTGCGTTACTGGCAGAGCTGGGGCCGGACTCAGAATCAGCCTCTGCTGCCTCCGTCGGCTCCCCGCGGTGGCGGCTTTTCCTTCGCCTTTTCCTCCTCCTTCTTTGTTTAGTAGACACTGGACCCTTAACCTATTTTGTGAGAAAAAGAATTTAATAAATTATACTATAAATTTTGTTCTATTTTTTACATACCTTCTATGAATGTTTTTATATTGTTATAATATGGTCAAGTTCCAAAATTAATTTATGTTTTGTTTTCACTGGGGCACCTCATATTTCCAGGTAGACAGTAACCATGCTTGTTGCGTTATTTAGGACTCTTTGCTTGTACCTGATATAAACTGGACTCGAACCACTTAAGCAAAGAAGGCAGCGTGTTAACCTCACGTAACCGAAGAGCTGATGAATAAAATTCCAGCGTCAGGCAAGGATGGAGCCAGGTGTTCAAAGGATGTCACCAGGAACCTGTCCCTTTATGTAGCTTGGATAAACTTTCCTCGCTGTGGGCTCCGTTTGCAGGCCAACGCTCTCTGTGTCGTGCACGGCCCCAGCCAACTTAACATTGTCACAGCTCCAAGTCCAGAAGCAAGAACAGGCTTCCCTTTCCCCACAGGTCCAGTTAATCCCCGAGTTTATTCTCTTTGCCTGGCTCTTGCTATTGCTGACCCACGGGCCACTGTGATTGGCCGGGTCTGTCGGGAACTGCTCCTAGGAACAGAGGAGGGGCCACTCATGAAAGCCACGTGGCTTGGGGAAGGAGCATGGTCTTCAAAGGAAAACCAGGATGTTGTCAGGAGAAGGAGCAGGAATAGATGTGGGACAGGCACAGGCCACTGTCCCTAATATCTGCCATTTCCAGTTCAGTGCGTGGCCAGTGTGCTTCACCATCACCCCAATCGCAAGCACTTTGGTTACTTCCAGAGGAACCAGACGCTCTGGGTTCAAGCCCCACATCTGCCTCTCTCTTGCTGTGACCATGGTACTAATGTCTTCACCTAACTGCCTCGGTTTCCTCATCTGTAAAGTGGCGACAGCAATAGTTCTTGCCCACAGGGCTGTTAGGATTAATGAGCTAATGATACATGTAAAGAATTTATATCAGCCCCTGGCACATACTAAGCATCCAATAAACATTAGCTGCTGCTTCTCACCGTTAGAACCAGATTTGCTAAAAAACGAAACATTTAATTTACAAAGTTACTTTCACTCTCTCCGTATTTCCCTGGAACCTCTTTCTGTAGATGGAATCGCCTGGCCAAAGGTCCGGCTGTGTTGGGAGCACTTGACGTTTTTGGCCGGACCGTGCTCGGCAGTTCTGCGGCAGTCGATGCCATCCCAGGCAAGGCTCCTGGCACTGGTGTGAGCCAAGTGGTCTCGAGCCTGCCAGTGGCGTCTGCAGCAAGCAACCAAGCAACCAAGCAACCCACCACACACGCGTCAGAGGGCGGGCAGCCTGGGGTGGCCCGGCTGTCCCAAAGTTCCCACATCGTCCCCACCACTGAACTGCTCCGGTGCTGGCTTTTTTCTACATCCCCATGTTGTCGCCACCTCCTGGGCCTTGTTTCCTCCCTCTCCTGTCCCCCGGCTGTGAGCAGCAGTCGCAGGCTCAGGCTGCTGGGAACTTCTCTAAAATGCCTGGTGCTTTCTGACATTGAGCAACGGAGCCTCTTTCCTCTTTTTACTGCCCTCCCCCCACAGGAGGCTCCAGGACCTGACTTTCATAACCAGGTTGTAACTACAGACCCGGCTGCAGTCACTTCCTGTTCCTTCTTTCTTTCTTTCCTTCCTTTCTCTTTTTCTTTTTTCTTTTCCTTCTTCTTTTTCTTTCTTCTTTTCCTCTTTCTTTCTTTCTTCCTTTCTTTCCTTTCTCTTTCCTTTCTTTCCTTTCTTTAGTTATTTCCTTTCCCTCCCTCCCTCTCTTTCTCTTTCCTTCCTTCCTTTCTTTCTTTTTCTTATGTTTTGTAGAGACAGGGTCTCGCTCTTGCTCAGGCTGGTCTCGAACTCCTGACCTCCAGCGACCCTCCCGCCTCAGCCTCCCAGAGTGCTGGGATTACAGGCGTGAGCCACCGCGCCCGGCTCCCTTTTCTTTTTTAGCAGCAATCCCCACTGCCCTGCCGATGCCGTATTTATTATACTTTTCAGTTTTTCAGCAATAAGATGTTAAAAACTGGCAGTCAGTGTAGCAGGGTGCCCGGTGCTTTGGGGGCTGATGAGACCCCAGCCCTCGAATTGCTAACGGTTTGCTTTGTAGGCAGAAATTAATGTTCTTAGCGCAGGCGAGGCCCGGTGACAGTGCTGACCGTCAGGGCGAGGGGCCTTCAGGAGCCTGGAAGGTGGCGAGAAGCCTTCCCCTTGAATGTCCCGTCCTCTCGCCCACACAGGAAGGGGCCAGGCCCCCTAGCGGGTTAGGGAACCCACCTGCAACACTTGGGAGTAGCTGAGGGAGGATGCGGGACTTCCTGCCTCATGGGCGTTGTACTGGAGTCCAGCAACTCCGGAGACCCCGGGATGAGGCTCGAGAGGGCGCGGGCTGGCCGCGGCCCGCAGGGCCAGGGAGGAGCAGGGGTTCCCGGGGCACCGAGTCACCACGGAGGCGCAGGGAGAGCCTGACCAGCGCATTTCTGCTGGGGCTGCCTGGCCCCACCTGGCCCCACCTGGCCTCCCAAACCTGCAATCCCGATCAGGAGCCTGGCCGGTTTCTGCAGGCGCAGGAGTGGACGAGAAACCAGGGAGCAATAAAAGAATCCCCGGGAAGGCCCAGGGGGTCAGAAGTCCACGCGGCTCGTGGGAACACGCGCCCCCGTGCAGCCGCGCCCTGCCGCCCACCCTCCGCGGCAAGAGAGGCCAGGCCGCTCCCGGCGAATGCTTAGGGAGCACCCCTTGCAGCGGTGGCCCCCACAGTCTGCGGGAAACCGCCCTTACCAGATGGCCCTCGAGTTTGAAACGTCTGCGAGAACGTCCTCATGTATTTCTTGTATGAATAAAGCTCCACGGAGATTTTTTTTGAGGTGGGGTCTCGCTACGTCGCCCAGGCTGGGGCGCGGGGGCTACTCACAGGCGCGGTGTGGCGCTCTGCAGCCTCCAACCCCTGGGCTCAAGCGACCCTCCTGCCTCAGCCACAGACTTTTTAAATCAGGATTTTTTAAATCTAGATTTTTAAAAATCAGGACAAAGGCAGAGTGTAGGACAGGGGCTCCAAACTAGTCCCAGGGGTAGGGAGGCCTCCCTCACCCAGGGGCTCGGAGGAGGGGGCAGGCGGTAAACACGGCACCCCTGCCCGAGGGCAGCCTCGGCCTCAGCCTGCGCCAGGACGGAGCGGGCCTCGGCAGCGGGAAGGAGCCACGCACCGCCCCGCACCGCTCACAGGGGAGAGGGGCCGAGGAGGAGGCAGGGCCACGTGCCGCACCTCGCGGACCAGCGCAAGGGACCTGGGCATTTCCTAGGAGCCGCGAGAAACACTGGAGGAATTAATACGCCTCAAGGGCAGCATGAGCACGTGTGTGTGTGGGGGGCATATGTGGTATGTATGTTCGTGTGTACATGTATGTGTGTGGTGCATGTGTGCTAAAGCTTACGCAAAGAATTCTGCAGAAAATGGGATGCGGGGAAAAGTGGACGAGGGTGATTGGTTAGGGGGTCCGTGCGACAAGCCAGGCAAGCGAAGGCAGCATCCTGGACTAGTGTGGCAGGACTGCCTGAAAATAAATTATCCATGACGCTTGAACATAGGAATATGGAAAGATATTAGACAAATATTAAAGTAAAGAAAACCTGGGTGAATAGTGGTCAGAATAGAATTCAGTATAATAAGCTGACTACTGAAATGTCTGATCCGGCCATATAGAACTCTCAAGACACTCATTCACATGCTTCACTAAACGTTTCCAGTTTGCTGTGTTGCAATTTTATTCCAGGACAGCATTTCCCTTTACATGGCTTGGTCTCCTAGTGTGCTGCTCACATGCTGTGCGCATGGCACAGAGTTACTGCCCGAAGTACCACGGGGGTGTGCAGGAGATGGGCTCTTCCTTCCAGATGGTCCTCAGCCTCTGGGCCCACGCAGCCACCATCCCCCTTCTTTCTTCTTCTGATGCGATCTCAGGAGCGAAACTGATCTGAGCGGCCAGGACTTTAAATCCACAGAAGTGCAAGGCGCCGTGCTATAGCCACGGGAGAGAAAGGAACCGATTGGAAACTACGCCTTTTACATACCCTTTGGTTAGACGATTAATGGGGGGCAGTGGGATGAAGAAAACCTTCAAAACATTGTAAAACGACTTTAAAGCTACAAGGTAACTGAAAATTGAACTTCCCTATGACCTTAGGATGTAGGGCTTCATGAGTGAGGTGAAGAACTTGGGGTAGCTGGAATTTCCAAATTCTATTCTTTTTTCTTTTTTTCTTTAAGAGATGGGTCCACCTATGTTGCCCAGGCTGGACTTGAACTCCCGGGCTCAAGCGATCCTCTCACCTCGGCCTCCTGAGTAGCTGGCACTACAGGCACATGCCACAATGCCTGGATTCCAAATTCTATTCTTGTAATTGAGATTAACCTGCAATCTTTGCTACTGAATCAGATACTAAACATCA